AATCAAAGGAACTGGACGACAGCCATTCTACACCCAGGAGGCAATAGTTCTGTGAGCGCCTATGTGCGCCTGAGCCCCACCCTGGAATAGTAACTGAAGACTCCCCTGTCCCAGCAGCTCATGGGAGTTGTCCAAGACCCACCGTTTTGAATTCATAAGTGATGATCTTCTAATATTAAACATAAATCCACCAAAGCAAGGGCTCTGAGATGCCTGCTCTGGACCTGGACTTGCAAGGAGGACAGAGCACGGGTTGATCCTGGGAGGACTCTCAGGTTATTCTCTCTACTTCAGTCTCCCTTCTCTCTACCTCTGTCCAATTTCTCACACTCCTACCTGGGATCAGCCCTCGGACCCATCTTCTGTTCCTGCCCCAGATCCAGCTGCCCCTGAATGGTAGATAGGTTTCCGGCGGTGACACCGTCCCCACCCCCTCCAGGGCACAGCTGCGGAAAACAGACCCAGGAAGTCCTCTGCGGGCCCAGGAGGCTGCGTATGCACTGGGGTGGGGTGGCGGTGGGTGTTATCTCTCCTTTGTCTGGAACCCCGCCTGTCCTGATCTTCGACCACACTCCCCTCGCCTTGGAGCAGGAGGATCGCAACGTCGCAGAGGGACCAGGATGGTTGGGGTTCCTGCGTTCATTCCAGCCGGTGGCGCTCAATGGATCAAAAGTGGACTAAGAATTCGACGTGGCGGCTCTGTGTTCCCACCGGAGAGGCGGGAGTATGGGGACGCTCAGAGTGTCACAGCCAGTGACACCTCCACCTCCAGCCCTGCTCTAGTTCAGGCCTAGAAACTCAGATTCTAAAGTCTTAGAGCTAAAAGGGCCCTGAGGCTAGGCCTTCTCCATTTTACAGATATGAAACCTGAGGCCAAGACAGGAGGCTACCTGTCCAAGGTCACATAGCAAGTCCCGGGTAGAGGAAACGCTGTGAACTGGAAACCTCTTTCTCAGAAGGGTTTCTCCAGAGCCACTCTTGGGATGATGGGGCGGAGTTTTTTTGGGGGTGGTGGAGGAGAACCCAGCCAGTATATGTCATACACACTGATTTTCCTTCCGATACCAGTGCAGCTTGGACCGAATCCCCCCAAAGCGCTGCCAGGGTTGAATGGAACCACATATATTAATTACTTGAACTGGAATAGGTCGGCTTCCCATTTCACACAGAAGGCTTTCGCCTTCAGGACAGTGTTGGGCAGCCTAACCTGGGCGGCAAGAGCAGCCCCCTTTCTCACGTTGTGTTGCACAGGGCAGAGGGTGTTTCCTTTTGGATATGGGATTATTCACAGCCGCCTGAGCGTGCCGGCCTCCCGGAACTTCTAACTCCAAGAGGCGCCATCAGATATCCTGGCCACCTAACCCAGCCTTATAGGCCAGCAAATGGTGGCCCAGAGAAGTTACTTGACTCTCCGGGATAACACAGCGATTCCTTGACCAAGCCGGGCACCGCGCCTCAGTCCTGCCTCCGAAAGCTCACCAGCCCACGAGTCTGCGTCCAGGAGAGAGAGGCTATCGGGGATTGGTCTCCACGCCCCTGCGCTGAATGCGGTAGGGTGTCGCTGTGCCCAACAGTCGCGTGCTTTCTTTCCTCCTCTGCGTGACTTTGGGCCGGGCCTTGTCTTAAGCGGCGGAGGCAGGAGACGGGGAAAGGAAACCCCCCGGAAAGAAATTTAATTTGTGTAAATAGAATTGCCTTTGAAAGTTTTGTTATTGAAAGAAAGCCCATTGAGAATAATGTTTGAGAAGCCACTTTCAGAGGAATGCCCACCTCCACCTCGGTCTCCATACACAAATTTGGCTTTACTAGGAACACACGCCCACCCCGCCTCCCCCTCCCTCCTCCTCCCTCCCCCTGAGCCAGCCCCTCCTGCGCCCAGCGGCATCTGGGGGTTGGGGCTGCTACACTGCTCCCTGGGCCTGAAATCGACTCCCACAAGTCCAGCTCATCTTCCTTCTGGTGCTTTGGATAAAGCGAGCCTACAGGGCTCAGACTGGTTGCTCAGTTCGAGAAAGCCAGAGAGGCCCTAGCGGTGCTGTCCTAACTTGGTGGGTCCTCTCTCACCCTCATTTTAAAAGCATCACAGAGAGAAAGCAACTGACCCTAAGTTACACAGCTAGTCGGGTCTGAGCCAATTCCTGCATGATTCCTGCGCCTGGATCAGTGGTCTGCTCTGCCTGGCCCAAGTCCGTTTGTAGGAATGGTCGAAGTGGGAGAAGAAAGGGGAAAATTTAACCAGATTTTTCAAGAACTGTGCAAAGTGCCTTTGTCAGGGTTTGTTATCATTACCAGCGCACCTCAAAGGCCAGGGACTCTGGGACTATGTTTATTTCTCCCAAAGGCGGGTCCTGCTTCTCCTAGGGCTCAGCTTCCCCATGTGTCTGAAAAGAATCCCTGAGATGAGACCTCCCAAGCTTCTGAAAGATGAAGATCCATGGTAGATGGTATTATTCCACCAGGCTCATTCCAGAGCTAGGGGAATGGATGCCAACACGCAGGCAGTGTTCAGCCTATCCTGGTCTCCCTGGCCTTGGGACTCTTAACCCTCACCTCAGCTAATTTGCCTAATTGTCATTTTCCTCCACGGGAAGCTGTTGGGGGAGGATGGTGCCTGGAGCTCTATCGCCTTTTCCAGCAAGAATGAGAGGCTTAAGGGCAGAAAAATTACCTTTCAGTCCTACGCCCTCCATACTTCCTTCTGTATGATCTCAAATAAGTCCCTGCCCCTCTCTGGACCTCAGTTTTTCCTTTTTTGGTACCACAAGGAAGAGGCTAGACAAGAATACCTTTAAGTGGCTTCTTGCTCAGGTAGAATCTCACCGCCCTTGGGCTTACAGCTAGAATGGCATATATGCCTTCCCCATTATACAGATGGAGAAACTGAGGTCGAACAAAGGAATGGAATACAGTTCTAAAGGAGGGAAAGGGCCATCGAGCGACCCATACAAGGTCCTGAAGTTGGGAGAGGGGAGAGACCTGAGCAAAAACCCCAAAACCAGACCTGGATGCCCCCATACTGGCCAGTTTCTCAGCTCTCTTTTCTTTCCCGGCCCAGGCTGGGGCAGACAGGCGGAAGTATAGTGTTACCTGAGATACTGCCCTTTCCCAGGCAGCGCCCTCACCCAAACGTGTGTCGTTTGAAGAGGGGGCATGGCTCTCCAGATTTTTAAACTCTGGCCAGCCTAGGGGTCCTCAGCCCCACCGAGGCCTGTCTCGCAGAGGAATGAAATGCTTTATTGATTAAACGATTATTCAGGCGATTGAACTAATCAAAGAGCCCATCGACCGCCATGAATTACAGTCTTCGTAGACAGCTTGTCTGGAGAGGCAGCCGGGCCAGCCATGCAGACCCTCTAGTGGACCCTCCCAGGCCTCTGACCCATTCCCAACACACACACACACCCTAGTCCCCAGTGCAGACACCTCTGGAGTCTCACCTACTAAGGGACCCACTACGGAGTAGTGCGGAGAGTAGGGATGGAGCAGAAGGGGATTCCAGGTTCCCTTTCCTGTGCCTTTACCCTGGGGAATCCTCTTCAATTCCCTGCCTCTTAGATTTCTGCCCTCACTTCTCTTCAGTAATGATTTTGGAAACACATATACACCTAGGGAGTTGTCCTGGGTTTCAGATACAAGTTCACCCCCCACCCCTCTCTCTGCTTTTTGACCTGTATTTAGGGCTGGGGTGGAGGTGGGTGCTCACAGAACCATATGGATAGGGGAAGGAGAATTCTGTCAGGGCCAGAAGTGTGTTTGGATGGGGGTTTAGCACATTTGACCTAATGAGTAAAAGAGGTGCCCATAACTGGCTTTTACCTCAGGGCAGACAGAAGCTTCCTGCTGCCTTCCACCTCCTCTCAGACATAAACACACCCTGCCACCCACTGCCTGGGCCTGTGGGAGGAACACCAGGCTCTGTGCCAGGGAGGCCTCTGTGCATATAGGTTCAGAGCTGGATGCCCCGGTTAGGCACACATGTCCACCTACTTGTGCTCTCCTCCTGGCACCCACAAGATAAAACCTGAGTGCACACGTGCGTGCACACACACACACACACCAGTGACAGAGGTTTGTCTAAGTAAGAGCTAAGGCAGGCTGGGGGTCCTAGAAATGTCACAACTAGCCTGTAGGTAGGCTGCCTCCTCTTACCTGCCAAGGTAGTGTCTGCAACGTGAGACCCTTTTGTACAAATGGTAGGCTCAACAGTACCCACAGAGGGAAGCAGTGTACACCCCACAACGAAGGGCTGCACACCTTCACTCCTGTTCTCTCAACAGAATGGAACCTGAGCCTGACTGATGGCAGACTTAGTGCAACAGATCCCCACAGGTCCCAGACCCATCTCTGTGCCTAGAGGCATGTGCACAGTGAACAGCTGTTGACATCCAAAAATGGAGGGGTCGGTGTAACCATCTTATTCTCACTTCCAGAATCACTTGGGATGTGACGGGGAAACACAATCCCTTAAAGGAGTAGATGTACACTCAGACACTCATCCAAATTATGTATACGCCATTCATAGACACACATTCTGGATACTCAAAAGAACAGTACCCAGGAACAGCAACTCATAAACACATACTAACAGACTCATGAATATAAAGCTACACATACACAGGCACATAGATTCTTCAACACACACTCAAAATTTTTGATTTTATATATATATATATATATATATATAATCACAAGCTCATTGTCACTCATGCACACCCTGAGCCCCTATGTAAACACACAGACCCAAACAAACTTTCAGACTCCCAGATAAACATCCACATAAACATTCAGAAATAGAGAAAAATACACACAAACTCGCAAACACTTGGACTGATACAGAAGTGTGTGAACAGATTCGAGAAAAGAAACGTGCCGCAGACAGTCGCGCAGTCAATCCCTGCGAAAATGAGACGCGCCCCCTCCCCCAGGGTCGAAGTGTTTGAGGGCCAGTGCCCGGCTGGGTCTCTGAGTTAGCACGCCTAGAGCCCGTATCGCGGTCCTACCTGTCCTGCCGGTCCGAGGAGTCGGGTAATTTTTCTCTAAATCCATTTTGATTTTTCAGAAGTTGATGTAATGGACAGGGAAAAAAGTTTCCACTTTTTGGTGCTTTTTTTTTGGGGGGGGGGTCTCAGGGGCCGCTTGCAGGTCGGAATAATTCAAGCCTTCCGCTCCCCCGCCGAGCTGGGGTAGCTGATCACTGAGCTGAAACTAAATGTTTTAGGTGGAAAAAAAGCGTCCGAAGGCACCGTGAAATGATTAAGGAACTAAAGAGCTTCTCGCCATGTGAGATCATGTCCTGTTCTCGCCAACATCACAAGATGTCCCCAGACACGCCGCGCCCCCAGCGTGCCTCCCCGCACTGCAGGCCCCGAACTGGGAAAGGGTGTCCGCGCTCTGCGGCCCGGCCTGCTCAGCTGGCCAGACGGGGCGGGCCGGGCCGGCAGCAGTGCGGGAGGCCGGGAGAGCAGCAATGCTGCCGCCGCGCCGCCCTGGACTTTTATAGGGGGTTGCGGGGGTGGGACGGACGGCTTCAGAAGGAGCCGAACTCTAGCCTGCGTTCTAACGGCAAGGAGCCGACCGCAGGCGAGCCGGGACCCCTGGCGTCGCGACCGCACCTTTTACAAATCCCTGAGTCTGGGTGTCGCGGCCGTCTGCTCTGTGCGCGAGGCCGGTGACCCCTTTAGATGCAAACCCCGCCACGTAAGAGGGTGCAGGCCGCGTTTTTGTTTTTTAAGAAATTAACCACTCTGCCAAGCAGGTGCAGTTGACAGGGGTGTAGAGAGAGGCAAGCCGTGTTGCCAGGCATAGAGGGGGGCGTTCCAGTTTCCTCAGATTCACCCCTAGGGCGGCGTCCGCCCTCCAGAGCTCTCAGCCACTCCACCCCACTACAGTTTGCAGCTCTATTATTAATATTGCTGTGTCCCTGACTCCAGGGCAGTGCCAGAACCCTAGAGCGCCCAGGTACCATTCCTGGCCCCAGAGCCTTTCCACACACCATGTCCCATCCTGGCCCCGAGCACAGAGGTTAAGCTGTGAAATGCTGGAGATAAAATCCCGGCCTCCGCTTTGGAACACCCGGGCTGAGCAGAACCTTCTCAGGAGGTCCTGGAGGTTGACGTGAGTCCCGGACACCTTACCCCGGCCCATAAGTGGAATCCCCTTGCCCTCCAGCCCCGAGACGTTGCGGCGTCCCCGAGCCCCAAGACTTGACTTTAGAGGGGAAACCAGAGAGACCGCGCAGAAGTTTGGCATGTCCAGCCCGCTCTCTTCGGCCCAGGCTCAAGACTCCCTCCCTTTTCTCCTCCCAAGTCCCGAGTCCAGCTGCTGGGCTTGGCCACTGGAAGCCCGTGGGGCCCCGCTGCGGGGTGGTCGCAGGGGCAAAGTTCTCCAGGGCGGGGGAGAGATCCGCAGGAGGGCTCTTGGCCCGCCGGACAATGGCAGTTTCGAAAAGTGAATCGTCCTCAGCGAGAGTGTTGTTTGTTTTTTGGAGGGGGTGGTCACGAGGATGGGCCGCAACCTTGGGGGAAGAGCCCAGAGCTCGAGAAAAGGGGGCGGGGGGCTCGGGAACCGGACATCGCTTATCCACTGAGCCGATTTCGCCACAATCGGAAACTTGGCTGTGGATTCCCCGGCGGCTCCCTCCCCCACCCCCCGCCACAAGTAGTCTGCGCAGTCCCGCTGCGCCGCCTCTTCCTGCAGCCTACGCGTCCGGGTCCCTGCCCCGCCGACTTGATTTTTGGCCATCTCCAAGCACTCGACTCTTCCTCCGCAACCGGGCCCCAGCCCTTGCTTCCCGCCCTCCCGCCTAGCCCGCGCGGGGAGGCTGCGCAGAGGAGGAGCGGCCTGTCCGCGCCTAGCGATAAAAAAGCCCTCCCGGAATTGACATTTCATCCCAGGCTGGGGACGGGAGTTGTTTGGGGGTTTTGTTTTTTTCTATTTAGAGGGTTTGTTTAGTTTTTGTTTGTTTTCTTTTCATTATCCATGTGAGTGTTTTGTTTCCGGTGTTTTGCGTGTTGGTTGTTCGTGGATTTCATTTTAGCGGGTTTTGCTCTGTGAGTCTTTTCTGTCTTGTGTTTTGATTTTGTGTGCGTGTTGTACTTTGTGCTTGTAGGCTTTTTGTGTGTCGTTTGGAAGGCTGTTCTTTCTGCGTGGTGTTTTGATGTGTTTTGATTTTGTACTAGTGGGTGTCGTTTGTGTGTTTTGAGTTAGGTGAATTTGTGTTTGTATGGGTTTTGTTTTCTTCGATTTTGATTTTGTTTTTATGAGCAGTGCGTTTGATGGGGGTTTTGGTTTATGTTTTCGTGTGTTGGCTTTAGTTTCTGTGTTTGTGGGATGCTTTGGTGAGTTTTGCGTGTGTGTTTGGCTTTGTGGGGCTTTTGGATTAGGGAGGGGACACCGGCCACTTCTTCATTCTTGTCCGCATCCAGGAAAGGCAGAGGATTAGGCCAAGCACCAGGACCCGTGGACTCGCGGTGCTCGGAAATACCTGACCCCCGCGCGGCCGAGTCGTACTCTGGGTGCTCCAGACCAACGCGAAACAAATACGTGTTCCCGAGGGGGCGCCCGCCCTTACTCATAACCCCGCCGGTCGTGTGGCGCCAGTGCCCAGAATTCACAGCGCCCCCCCTCGCGGGGTATCCAGGCCCAACCGTCATCCCCTTGCCCACCCTGCCCGCTGTGGGTTGACCTCCCCTTGCGCCTGGCCAGCGTGCTTCGGACCTCCTGGACTTCCGCAGCGTTGGACCGAGGGGCTGCTCCCTGATGCAGAGAAGGTGGCGAACCTCTTCGGGGGACCCGGAATTGATGCTGCGACCTTAGAGATACTGGGCAAGGGGCTTTGGACGCATAGAGTCTAGGCGCAGATCGGCATTGGAACCCCCGAAAAATCCCCCGTCTCACTTGGCCGCAGCCCTAGAATCCAAGAAACCCAACTCTGCTCAGCTTTCGGTTTGGAGAACTTGCCCTAGTTTGCAACCATCGACATACAAATCCACCCTCGAACATACGCATACACAGCTAGAGAGCGAGAGTGAGCGAGCCGGCGCCTTGATAGCAGCGGCCTGCGTGGCTGAACCAGCGCTGGCACCACTTCAAAGGGAAGATGAAGTGTAGTGACCAGAAATGTCCCAAGGACAGAATAAGGCTTTTTTTTTTTCCTGTCCACGTTGCCGGAACTTCTCCAACCTCGATACACGTGGATTTGTTTAATGCTACACCGGGGAGAAAGAGAGACAAATTCAGAGAGGCAGAGAGACATGCTGGCTAAAAAGGCGAGGAAGTGCGGGGAGAATCTATAGAGAAAGAAATATGGAGAGGGAGAGAAAAGACTGTGAGGAAAGGCAGACTGAAGACCCAGGAAAGGGGCTGGTGAGGAGGCTCCTCCAAGGCCCCCGCGCGCTCTGGCCTTCTGTGAGAGGGAGAAAGCAGAAACCGAGAACAGAGAGTGACAGGAAAAGAAAAGAGTCGCAGAAGGGGTTGGCCTAGGCACGCTGCGAGCTTCTCTCCAGCTAAGACGCTGCAGTCCAGGATTGGGGAGGCCGACGTCGGGAGGCGAGGCGCCTAGGTCGGGCTCTGCTATTCAGCCAGGAAACACCCGAAGACTCCCAGGTTTTGTGGAGCCAAGACTGAGGCTCGATTTCGGCCCGGCGCCACCCTGAGACCCCCAGCCCGGAATCCAGCAAAGATTGGACCACCGCGGTCCGCCGCTTGGCCTCCCTCTGTGCGAGCCCTGGGAGAGGCAGCGGGGAACGACTCCGGCCCTGTGTCTCTGGGATGGAGCCTGCTCTGAGGGCGGGTGGGAACCGACGTCCAGGCAAGTAGCTAGGACGAGGCCCCGCCCTAAAGCTGGGGGCCCAGTTCTGGGAGCGGCTGAGGCCGCAGCTGGACTCGCAGGATTTGGGGTCCGCGCAGCGCACACGTGGCACCGCACCTTCCTCTGGAGGCGCCGCTAAAGCCCAGTCCCGCCCCGCTGCGTTTGCTGGGTCTGGATGGTGTCAGGATTGAGGGTGGACGCCGAGTCCCGGCGAGTAGGTTCCTCACGGCCTAAGCTTGGGGCTTGCCGGGGGGCGGCGCCCGTGTGGATGGGGGCACCTCTCCACTGGCAACTCCCGGGGAGCAGAGCGCAAAACGCGCGCAACGCAGGCCAGCCGCCGCCGCCGCAGGTTTTCAAACGGCGCCCGCGGTGGAAAGGGGCTGAGGAATGGTCTGGTTAGAAGCACCCATTTCTGCTGGCATTGGGGTCCTCTGGACATAAAGGGCTTCGAGCTTCTGGCTGCTGGCTTGCTGGGACACCATGTGCTAGCGGCTCGCCACCCAGCAACACAGGGGTAGTGCTAGAAAACACGATGGGGCTGTGTTCGGGGAATCTGATGCTCATGGTGGGTTATTGCTACTGTTGTTTACTGCCTTTCTTGCTTTAATTAAAAGTATTATTGAGAGACGCCTCAAACAGCGCAGAAACTCGGGTCATTTGGATGGGTTCATTTCAACTCAAATCCAGTAATTCGATTCAGTTCCACGACTGGTTTCCAGCGCACAGGTACACACGGCAGACGTCAAGTGTCTGCTGTATACAGGGACGCGATTTGAAGGCAACTCGTGGAGAATTTTGAGATAAAATTCACTATTCTGTAGTTACATTCGCAATATATGAATATGGAAAACAGGGAGTCAGTTGTATTTAAAAATGGCCAACATATCCCAGCAATCCACTATTACCTAAGAATCCAAAACGGGGCATTGAAAAGATTTACTGGCACTCTGATTATTTAACATTGAAAACAGTGTAAATCAGTTTATTTCTTCTTCTATTTCCTTTTAAATTTAACAATACCATGATTTGTAAGTAATAAAATCATATTTTGCCAAAGAAGACATATGAAGGATGTTTTATTTCTACCAATATTTATACGATGAACTGTTAGCTCTCCCCACCCCCTTTTTCTTCTATTTCTCCGTGTAATGTAATGTGAGCTTTAAATATTCATGCACCAACCCAGACTTGCATTTATTTAATATGTTTTAAACTAAGAACATTTTAATGTGATATAATGT